CATTCTGCCTAGGCGTCGTTGCGTCCCCTGCGATTAGGAACGTCCGCACCTCCGGTATTACGTCAATGTTGTTAGCCTCCTTTTCTACCACGCTCATTTCTTCCGCGACTCTGCTTCTCCGCTGTGTAGAGGAAGCGAGCTAGATCGCAGGAAGTCATATTGGATAGTCTGTCGAGGAACGGAGAGGTCAGTCAAGCGCTTGCGAGAGAGTTAAGAGCGCAGTCCTCCGGTGACGCCACGCTTCTATCAGATGAGTGGTTTCGTAGATCTTGCACAAAAATTCGTCCACTACTAATCGACGACAGAGATATCTATACCATAGATCTCTAATAGCAAGTTTAGAGTCATAAGAGGTTTACAGTCCAATCGCAAACTCTATTTATCGTTCCATACAAAGTAAAATTTACCTTCATAGAATATCGTACTTAGCCTACATACGTATAAATTAGAGCAACGACCGGCTCACGAGCGTAATTTGTTTCACGTTCGTGTTGCCAAACATCGGCAGTCTAAACAGTCGCGTCTCACGTAGCCGATGCTCCGCGTCCCTCCGGAACCCACGAAACGGTTGTTAGCTAGAAACGGTCGACTCACGAACGGTTCAGCCGTTACGATTATTATAAGGCGTAACGCGCGGCGGGCAGAAAGCGTTCAAACTTTAAACGCACTGCGGGGGAGTGACTCAGAGGCCAGCTATCTCATAGACCAGCTAGACATGCCTGTTCGTTGCCCGGCAATTACGATTTGCGAGGGTCGAGCGCGTTCACACGGGAGGGGTTGCTTGCGAAATAATAAACGCCAGGCTACTTTATCGATTCCAAGCACGAAAGTTTCTACGCGGCGGTGATCCAGGAATAGTCGGGAAAGCATTGACATTGCCGTTCACTTGCTTGGCCGTTGCCAGACTGCATTTTAACAGATCGATCCCCGGGACGGGGCACTTACTCGCTCGAGGATACGGCAGGACTTCCGTGTTCGTTCACGGAGTTTATCGTACTTTAAATTCCGCTTAATATCTATTACCGCCGCTTGACGTCTACTTTGAATTCAGGGGATCCAACGGCGTGAATCATAGAAGCACGTGGACGTCGATTGTCTATTAAAAGGCTCGACGGTACACCGCTCATCTGCGATCAATGAGTGCTGTTTACCATAACTTACGAGACTCCAGTGAACTCGAGGGAGTTCATCGGTTCTTCCTAAGAGAAACATGCATGGGAATGTTTGTTATTGATTTGTTTGCAATTCTCGTCAGATGTGTTTACCTTCTAATTATCAATGTATAGTAGAAAATTGTTTGCGTTATTCAGTTAGATACATAAAACATAAAATGAACTTTTGATAAAGTGGTATACAGTATTAGTGAAAAGACTTTGGGTATTATAATTATTCACACTTCGGATTAATTTTCTCATCAGGAGTCATCTCTTGTACGGTTGTACCACCATTAGTAATGATGGTCCAGTAGATATCCTACAAACCTTAAGTCAAAGTAGAAATCGTCTAAACCCAACGTGGATTAAAATCGTACTCCAATGGGCAAATAAAAGGGCAATTAAAGTGTCTCTTTCTTGTCACTTTCGTGCTCGGAATCGATGCTGTTTCCGCGGGGAAAAAGCAAATTTATACCGATACGGCCATTGTTTCGTTTAACAGACAGTCGGCCCGGTTATTTATCAGGCAGACTGCGTCTACCTGGTCTCGATGCGGCACTTTTTGCTCTTTGCCGTCACGGGCGTTCGATTCCTCTTGACTTTTCGACGCGCTGTAGGGTCATCGGCGTCGCCCACGAAACGGTTCGAACCGGTATGAATGAACGTCAGGAACCGAGGGCCCTTTTCGAGGGTGCTCACGTGCCTGTCACGTGAGGTAGGCACGCCCATTGTCACGCCGAGAATGCACGGTTGCGTGCATGTGCCGCGAGCCCGCGCATAGTGACACGCCGTGGCGCACACTAACATACGCGACGCACACATACGCGATCCGCACATGCACGTGCGGTTGGCTGGCGGCGGCACAACGCAGGTTACGAGAACGGTGGCTGAATATTAAAGAGGGGAAGAAGTAAAAGGCGATAGGATGTGGCGCGAGGTGGAGACAGAGCGGAAGTACCGCGACACCGGCGCTAATCGTGAAAGAGAACCATTTTGCCGGGGTCCGTTTCTTCTTCGTCCAAGTGCCTCCTCCGTTTTGTCGACGATCGCGTCACTCGCCCCTGACGCTTCGACGTTACCCCCTCGTTTTAAGGCGAAATTCACGGCACGCGAGGGCTGCACGTTCGCGTATTAAAGATTCAGCAGGCAATGGCGTCGCTCGAACTCGCGCACCTTCGTATATTACGCATCATTCGATGTAAAAGTACTTTCCCTCTACCAGAAATTTACAACATTTTTACCAAGATAAAGAATAAAACTATGGCAAGAGGGGGGCTAATGATAAATAGATACCTAGAACTAGAGATGAATAATATTAAAATACATATAATCCACTCGATGGTTCCTTACCAAAGTGTCTTTGACCCTATAGGTCAAGGTCATCGAATCTTCTTCAAAATCAATATACACCAAACATTTTTTAAACCTGACATCGAGTAAATTATATTCACGTCTAATGTAACTTTTTGTTCGGAAACAAAATTTGCCCGACTCTGCTCTGTTATTAACGCAAGGGTTAAAGGCATTCGAGGAACACGAAACATGCTTTTAAGGCGTTCCCGTGTGGTTCCACGGTATTACGCTGATTTTTTCACGGTCGGTTGCATACGAAACCGTTCGAAGGCTCGGACAATTTATCGATTAACGTTTTTCTGGGGTTTAGCGAAACGTATCATTAACACTCGGAATATGTCGGTGCTCGGACGTCATTTGCGCCGCGGGACATACACCGTGCGCGTCGGTGGTGCAAGAGAATAAAAAGAAACGGGGATCGATGCCGTAACGAGAATGGAGACAGCGGTTACGATATATTCAATAACGTGTAACTTTTACTCGTTCTAATTACGCGATCGGGGACTCGTCAACGAGAGTGGCTCAGGAAAGTTTTATCGACTGGTAAATCAATTGATACGGTTGCAAGGTATACGGATGGTAATGCAGTCGCGTATAATGCAGCGGCGAAATGGACGCCGTGCAGCTACCCATTGGAGCGAAAACAAACAAATGTAAACAAGAGAGGGCACGTGTGGCGAGGGCATCGAGCCTTCCGCTTGTTTAGCTCTGTTTGTTTTGGCTGCGCCGTGAGACACGCTGCTCCGCTTTAACTCTTTCCATCGTTACGTTACGCGGCGTTATATTGCTCTTTAAACGACGGTTCTTTTCCGTTTCGCTCCTTTTTATCGCCCGCGTTCGTTCGCGTCAACGGTTTACGATATCGCGTAGGGCAAGAAAAGTCGGCTGGAGATAAATTAACCTATATGGCAATGTGGTAAAGGTTGTAAAAACTACGTTCCGGTCGAAGGAGTCGTACTCCGTCCGCTCGAAAGAAACAAAATGGCGAAATTGATACGTTCACGTACCGGGGTTATTACTTCTGTAATGGATTGGACGGAAGTAGAATATTTATTGCGTAAACGACAAAAACTGTTATGGTTTATCATCGCTGATTACGTATAACCGTCGTCTCGTAAGTATCACATGTTATTGCTGAAGCAATTTTCATGTGATAAAGAGCTCTATTTCATTTTGACATTGTACGTTATCTATCTGCCAACGGTATCGGTGGCTCCCTACGAAGCTAGTTGATATCTTACACATCTCATCAAGGTAGACCCCTTAAATGGATGCGCATTAAGAGAAACGACCACGATTACTCGTTCCCATCATCTAGTATCGAAATTATTTATTTTATAGTTTATTATACATCAAGAACCAACGATATTAATTAAACGATATATCGTTCATTTTAGTAACAAATATCAATTTTTAATAAGCCTTTAATAAGTACTTTTGTAATTCAAACTTGCAACTTCTAAAGTTTCGTTTTATTTCTTATTAAAAATTTCGGTCCGGATAAGAATTTCGCTCACGTCCGATGGGGGTTCACCGAACTCGAGATATTAGCGATGCATACCCTAGAGCACGCCCTTTATTCGTATTTAACACGGCGTTGGGTGGTTAAGGCACGCCTAAAGTCACGCTGAAACGCGATCCAGGTATATATCGTTCCGTAGTTCCGGCGTTCCGGACGTTCCGTTTCATCGTTCCACGGTTCGAGCGCGAGAGTAGGCAGTTGCGTGTGTCGTGTCAGTTATATCTCGGCAGCGAGTGCCGTCAGGCGCACGGGTGATTCGACGCGCGCCGTTCGTTTAAAAGTCCTCGTGCAATTCTACGATATAATAATAATAAAAGGTCGAAAACCTTCGGAAGATGTTCGCCGTTTATCGACGCGGTCCCTACGAGCGATCGTCGCCGAAACGACTCGTGTTCAACGCGGTCAGTGTGCTCCCGTGCGCCGAGGGTGTTGTTTCGTAAACGCGATTGGTTACTCGAATAATTTTCCTCGCTGGTTGATCGATTGCCGTGACACTCGCTTCGTCGGAGTCTCGCGACACACGCGTGCAATCGAAGAGAACGCGCCTCAAGGTTAAGTTTACTGGTGGTACACGTGATCGTACGGCGTTTTCCTTTTTTTCTCGGAATCGCCGGACTGCATTTTTGTTTGTATACGGCGCCGGGGCGATTTCCATCGGCGGAAGCTCGATATTTATCGGCAATATCGCGCGCGTAGTACCGGTGACGGGGTACACAATTACCGATTGAACATTGTAATGAATTATGCAACGGATAGCGCCTGTTCGAGGATCATCGACTTTGTACGCTTCATCTTACCCCGTTGACGCACGGGCGGTATTCTATCGCTGCTCGCGCCGTTCGTGGTGAACCGAAGTGCCTTTGTGTGACGCGGCAGGATCACGAAAATTGTTTTTCCAATGAACGTGGCAATTCAGTTCGAGCGTGAAACAGTGGAATCGTAGAAAACGATCGTCGACGTTCGTCCAACTTCCTATCATCGAAACGGCGTGAAGTTCGTCGCATAGATTTCGTGCGTTGGTCTCGATCCGAAACGCGGGACACGTGTTGCATTCTTTCTAATCTAAAATCGTCTCTGAGAAATATTCATTTCGCGCGTTCCTCGTCGTCGGTGCTTTCGATATCGAGATGATGCGGTGCTCCTTCGATGATCGAACGGTCGCGAACAGTGAAACGCGAAGGTTAACCTTCGCGAGCTGTCTGTGAAAAAGGCGAGACACGTATCGCAGGGGAAGGAAGGCTACGAGACAACCACTGGCGAACGAAATCCTGGATAATAGTCATGGCTTACGTGCTCTGGCGGGTCTTCATGAAGAAATACTCGAAGGTGCGGCTCGGCATCAGGAATCTGCCGGTAAGTGTTGCACGGAGGTTCGTAATTTGGCGCCGTATGCGTGCACTTTAGTTTACGCGCGGGCGTGCGTGCGGTTGTTCGCGATGCAAATGCTTCCATCCCGAAGCGAAACCACACGGCTCGGGACGAGTTTCCATCGCGCCGCCGCCGCCGCCGCGGGAATAGAGATAAAACAGAGTTGCATCGTAAGTTTCAAGGTCAAGATTTTACGGTCGAACTTCGCCGCGCTTCGCGTCAAACGGCCGCTGTAATTGCAGTAGCCGATGAATAGATTATGCAACCGGCGCCGACCGGAAACCTATACTCAAAACGAAAATCGTCCACGATTTAACAATAACGATTTTCTCCTTCGTTTCTGATTCTCGAGCCTTGTCATTTCATGTTGTTAAATAATAATTGGCAACGACTGGTCTGGTCTTGGAATCTGACCTGAAACGCCCTCGTATATTTAGTGCCTTCGACTGCAACTCCAGGTCACTTCAATAATAACGTGTTAAAGTTATAAAATTATACAACATCGTTTTAAGTTAATTATTCGAATAATTTTGTAGCAATATATACAATTATTATACAATTTAGATAATTATTTTGTTCAATTTAGGTGTTATTGAAGCAGTGTGATGGAAAGTGTAATGGCGTCTTCGTCTTTGGTAATTTTATAATATTTGTATTTATGAATTGAAATATTTGAGTCAGTATTTAAGTATACAGTAAGATTTCAGGATAAACAGAACGTTCTGTATACAAAATGGTGGGACCATGATTTTCAAGTACGCGGAGACGAAGAGGTTTGTTTATTCCGAAACTTGAGGAAGGTTATTGCTTCTACGCTGAGATCCAATTTGAAGTACCTTGGAGATTCCATCGGAGAATTTAACATGGTCAATGATCTCTCAGAAATAAAAACAGTTACGTACATGGCATCAAGTATCGATAGCGTTGTTCTCGCTATGAATACTGATCGTTACGAATACCATAGATACCGAGCGTGCATCGTAAATACATTAAAAACAGAATCTAATTGGGATCCAGTCCCGCCACAAGTTGATAGGCATAAATTGAAATTTTCTATCGATGAAAAACAAGATATAGTGCCTAATTAGGAGAATTTTGCAGTTGTAAAACAGAGGGCGGCCGTACTGAAATTTATTAAGTATAAGGGACAAGGATAGATAAAGTATCTTATTTCAGTGGTGTACCAATTAGGAGAAATTTGTGGTCATCGATAAAACGGAGGGTGGCGCGTCACATTGGAATTTACGAAGACAAAGATAGATAAAGTGTCTTATTTCAATGTTACGGCAATTAGGTTATTTTATAGTCATCGAGGTATCTTTATAGTGGCAGACGCGCCATATTGGAATTTATGAAGCACAGTCGACGTAAGGTTACAAGTTTTCTTAATTTTAGAATAAATATCTTGTATATCATCGAAATAAAATTTTGCCCATCTTTGTGCGCGGAAAGGTCGCATCGTTCCAGCGTGCAATTATTAGACTGCAACCGGAGCTAATGCGTGCGCCGTAATTGGATAATTGCAGTCGGGGCTCGCGCAACGGTTTTTTCTCTTTCTTTTTCGGTACCGTTTCGTAGCCGACATCGGTGTCGATTTATATCAAGGTATCATGATCGATCGGATGCGTGTACGGTTCATTGGTTTTCCATCGAAGCAGAATTCTTTCGCGGGACCGTTTTCATCTTCGAAACCGACGATAGTCAATTTGCAGTCGTACGCTCGTGAAGCAGCTTTCCCTCTTTTTCTTTTTCCTCCATTCGCGTCAGGCTCGTTATTAATGTCCATCGGGTAACTGTCGACGAATACCCGTGTCTAATTTGTCGATAGATCCTGTTATTAAATTTTCCTGGTGAACGGGTCGACCGTTCGCGGTGAACACGCCGTCGACAGGCCTCGCGAGGCGTGTTTAATCAATCAAGGAAAAGAGGTTCCCCGATGGCCGGTCTGTGTACCTAAAGGCACACCCTGCTAATAAATTTCGTACAGCAGAGCGGAAGGAAAATATAACAGGAGGGGGGCAGGGTGCAATACAATTTACGACGTGTCGGATTGGATTACTTTGATCCGTCTAGTAGACGATCCACTCCGCGGTGATGCAAACGACTGTTTTATCCTAAAGTAACAGAAACGCTTTAAGAATTACGTTCCTTTATCTGTAAAACTAGGAATCGATACTTAAGGTTCTCTACAATAGTTTTCCATCTTTGCATCAAGTTTATCCCCTTCTCTGAACTTTGACCATTTACTCGGTGACCGAAGTCGTTGAAAAGAATAAATAATAAATAAGTAAGCATCGTCGGTAGTCCCAATGAAGGCTAAGAATATAAAATATTGATTATATTTGAAAATTTGAAGAAATTGAAAATTTTTTAATGGGAGTCCTTGTAATTTTTTAAGTGCCTTTTCTACAGTTTTCCATCGTCCTTGTGGGACTTCACGCGCTGTGATCAAGGCTAATAGTTTTTCCTTCAATGCCAGCTTCGGACTGCTAATTGCTCGTTATGAAACTTAGCAATTTGAATCCAAGGTGTACGTAGTCCTGGTTGATGGTAGTGTCATTAAGACGTTCCCATGATTAATTGCCTGGTCGTTTAACAGTTTTACACTGTGGAATATCTATTTGATCAATTCAGTTAATAAACTTTGAATAAAAACATAAATATCGGCGTTCCAGACGCTTAATTGGCACATTCTGCCTCAGACTTAATGCTCGTAACCATTATGATCTATGAGCTCGATAAAATTCACGTTATTTAAAAGTTAAATCGCGATTCGGTCGAAGGAATTGCTCTTTCCATAGTGATTGTTCGCAATTTGTTTTATAATAAATTCCAGTATTTTATTAAGTTTTATTCGAGGTGGAAGGCTTCGAACGTTTCGATCGTTTCATCGGCGTCTGAGGCAAGGATTACTGGGATTACTGGGTCACTGACGAGATCATAACCACCATGCACAATAAGAGCAAATAGCGTACAAACCTCGGTTAAGCAGCATTTGTAATAGATCGATCATAAATCGTTCAAAGTTGTGTGAACAAGGTCTCCAAGCAGGGAGAAAGTTTTCGTTTATTTTTGCTCAATCGTGTGAACAGTGTTAAGTCTGACGTTCTCAAAACACTTTAATTACATAAAATTAGTAACGCAAAATTAGTTTCTCTACTATAGTTGCAACAATCAAGGGGTGAAACCACTGTGACGACTGAAAATAAAAGCAATTTTAAAGAATTTTTTGTGGATAACTTTGAAACTTTTTCTAATAAATATTTAATGTTTTCGAAAGTACATTTCTTCAACTGCTTCTTGCAAAAATTTCGTATAAAAATATTAATTATTATAGACATGATAGAAATCGACGTGAGAGGCCTCCAAAAATTTGTTGAAAACGGATAGACATGTAATTTTTCACTGCAAATTCTAAAATAAGAAATCATGCAATTTTCTTAATGTATAAGACAGCATTCCGTTGCACATAGTGATTCATAAAACTAATAATTTACTATAAAATGATGGAACTTTAAAGAAAAGATCTGAAAAACCTGGTAACACCCTGTAGGAACTAATTATTCGATTCAAAATTCCCGAAAAAAATAGTATTAGGAATCACCATACAAAATCTTGAGTAAATCGGATGAAAATTGACTGAGTTATTGGTTCAAAAAAAAAAATTCCAGTCTCTCGAATTCGTCACAGTGGTTTCTCCCCTCAAACCCACTAATTATGATTCCCTTACGCGACAAAGGATCAAACAACGAGGTCTCCTAACATGAATCTTTCAGTTCTCGTGCTCTGGTGCGAACGCCGCTTTAGCAATCGGTCCTCCTTCGATCTAGAATCGGTATCGTACCACAGACGATCCTCTGCACAGATCCTTCTCGACTACAACGAGGCAACAGTTTCCACGCGTGTTACTCCAGCTCGGTGGAACTCGTGGCTGGTTTCGGTGTCTATCGAACTCACGAATCCGTCCCTAATAATCCCCGATGAGAAAAAGGGATCGCTCGGTTCGAGATCGCTGTCCCACAGGGCTCAGCATCTTAATAAATTAAGTGCACCGGTTCGTTCGAAGGGGGTGGAGGGAGGGCGTAAAGACGGGGTGGACGAGGGGGTAGGGAGGGGCAGTCGGAAAGAAAGGAACGGTAGGCGGTCAGAAACCGCCGGACGAGGGGGGGTGCGGGGCTGGCGGCGGGGGTGCAATTCAGTTTGCGGTCGTCGAGTCAGGTTACGTTAGGTTAGTCCAGCGGTTGGTCCCCGTGACCGTGAACCGCGGCTGACCTGCGACACAAACACTGCTTCTCTCTCTCTTTCGCTAGCCGCGTCTATCTGTCTCTCTCTCTCTCTCTCTCTCTCTCTCTCTCTCTCTCTCTTTCTCTCTTCCCTCCCACCTTCCATAAATCTACCTGCACTACATCGCGTCTCGTTCCACGGGCTGAACCGCTCTCGGGCTCTCTCGTCTCTTGCATTGTGCGCTCTTCGGGATCTTCGAGTGATAAATACGGCTGGCCACCCTCTCTCTACTCCTATATCTCGCTATCTGTCCTCCTCCGGCACGAACCTCCGTTTCGCCACGGCGCGAACCGTTTCCCGGTTTTATCGTAGTTACGAGCGACTCGAACTCCGGCGGAGACATCGCCGCGTGGGCGTCGCTGATCTATTTCGATTTTCTCCATCGTACGTTCCACGGTTTCGTTGGAACAACCACCGGGCTCCGGTATCCGTTATCGTTCCCAACAATTGGCCGCGAGATCAAACTCGGGGACTCGTTTCGGAACGTTTACTATTCGCTCTCTGCTAATTTGCAACGTCAATGATAGAATTTTTTCACGTTGACTCATGATGCCATGTTTTTTTGCGCGAAACGTTCTCGAAACGAAAGCGAAAGAGCAATCCACTCGGCGATTATTCAATTGTCTGGTCCCGGGCGCTAATTTAATTACACCCTCTGTAACTGCTACGCCCACGACCCGGGGGTACTTCCTCGCGTATCT